TTTGTGGAAGCCTAGAAATGTTTCTATCATTTACTAGACTAAATTCCTTAAGGAACTTTTATTGTCTGTATATTCAATTGCCTTTTCATGTGACAGTAACTTTGTTAAATTTTCTCTAGAGAATCAACAAAGATAATTCAGTCATTTCTCTACTGTAGTTGTTTAAAATGTGCTTTTAATTATTAACAATTTTTAATTTTGTATTAATTTCTTTTTTCTGATTACTTTTTACTAATAGTATTTACACTGAAAATGATCAATTTGGGGAAAACTTCCATTAAGTTTCTCCATATTTGTAAGGTTTTTCCACAGACTAATATCTGCCTTGATATATTTCTCTTCCAAGCTCACATCCTTTTGATGCTGGGTATCACTGGACACATTCAAACTGCAATACGACATTGATCTCTGCTCCTTTGGTTACAACATTGGGTGAGTCAGCACAATGGGAGGTAGGATGATTCTTAGAAGCCACCCCTATACCATAACACATAGCCATAAATTAACTGTAAACATAAATGAATGTGAACCACACAAGTACACCTCACTAAATCAAAACAGCCCAAATTAGCTTACCCAAACCCTTAGCTAGGTCCTGTGGCCGCTCCAACTCTATCTGACAGGAGGGGAAGTGCAATGAAGGAAAAATTACAGTAGAAACAGATAGCTGTTTTGACTGATTATGGTTAAAATGTATTTGCAGATTTTACAGAAACATGTTACTATGAGAACATACTGCCCGGGCCCTTCCCAGGGCCTTACGGGGGCCATGAAGCTTAAACTTCATTAGCTTCAGGGTAAATCTACCTTGTATTTAAATATTATTAAAGACCACCCCCTGCAAAGAGTTAACTAATTTAGAATGTGGGCTCTGAAATAATCATGGACCAAGAAAAGAGGGCTAGGTCTTTTCCCTTTATATAAATTCATACATAAGGTCTTGGAGAGATTCAGTACCACATCAACCCCCTTCCCCTAATAGTCTTATATCAATAGGACTTCCCAAGGGGAGGAACAAAAGAGCAATAGTTATTCCCCAAATCCTTTCTCTCTTTCCCTCCAAGTCTTCAGTCCAATACACTTGTAATATTATTTAATACTTTGCCTCTTTAACCTTAAATGGAACTAACATTCATCAAATACCTATTACCTGTCAGACGCTGTTACCCAATATCTTCACATTATTGCCAGATAATTAGGGCAACAATTCCTGAGGACATAATGAAGGTATAGTTGCAATGAGTCAATTCCAGTCACTGTAGACGGGAGGTCATTACTTATGTACATATTTATGTTTCATATATTAATCTACAGGTTATGTGTAAAGTATAAGGATTTATATAAATTTTCTAGAATAGGATTCTATTGGCTGTGTTTATGTCTTTATATAAAATTTAACTCTTAAAATAGGATTCTTCTTGGAGGTATGTGTGAAAGTGATTAAGAATTGTTTATTTGGTAAAAGTTGGTGGAGATCAGTTTGTTGTTTGTTTCCCAACACCTGCATTAACATCCATGTGCACACAGTTTTTTTTAAAAGCAAATTCAAATAAGGAAGGAGCAAAATAAAATACTAGATTTATCTATCACACGACTATAATAACTATTGTACTGTATGTACAGCAAATACATAAGTTGGCTCTAAATGTTTTCTGATACTGCACACTTGTTTTCTTAAGATCCACAAAATGCTGATGAGTGAAATACGGCTTTTCATTTGTTGACTCAACAACCAGAAAACTAATTAGGGCTAGAGGCACATGCATTCATCAACTTAGAACCCTGTCAAACCCTGAAAGGTCTGAGGCAGTGGTAGCTAAATTGATGTTAGGAATATGTGAGTTCTTCTTTCTTAGGAAAAATAAGATCTCAAAACATTTCTTGGACATGGAAATTGCTTAGAACATATTTAATGCTTTAAGTGCAAATATTGAAAATGTTGAAATATTGAAATTCTATTACCGGGGAGGAGACATGGTATCTGGCTGGGACCAGAGTGGCGGCTCTGCTGATGGTCAGCTCTGGTGTGGGGCAAGGTCCTTCACCATGTCTGGCACCACTAGGTTGCCAGGCAGCAATGAACTGTGATTAAAATCAAGAAATCAGGACTCACATTTTCATTGGAAAAAGGCTGAAAACTCACTTCAGATATAGAAATGGTGCTAAAATGTGACCATTTCTATGCCCCTCAGATATTCTGTACCCACAGAGTATTTTCCCTCCATTCTTTCCTACATCAGTCAGAAGATGGATGAACCACCTATGGCACCAGAAAAGGCAGCAGCTGAAGGCACAGAGCCCTTCACCCCATTCTTCCCTGAACAGGAAACCTCAAAAACACTTGTCATTTGACAGAGTTGATGTCACAAATGTCAATCATTACTAAGTAATGTTTATTGCATTCCTGGAGTTGCTCTAGATGCTACAAATCATCTGTTACTACTGGTACAACTGAGAATTGCCAGTCACTTCCTTCTTCATGTAGGTATCTTATGTTTCCAAATTGTACCAAGAAGTAATTGTTCTGACATTTGGAGGCAGCCCTCCCCACGAGTGTTTTGCTGCCCAGTACAAAAGGTAGTTGTGGTTTTTTTCCCCAAATCTATGCATACTTCTCTCATTTCTTATGCCATTTTTTTTTGGCCAGGAAATTATACAACCCAAGGTCAGTGTTGCTTTCAAAGATAATCATAGCTGCCATCTATTGAGCAGCTATTGTTTTGTTTAACCATTATAAAAACACTGTGAAGCAAGGAATCCTTTTCCCATTTTGAGACAAGGAAATGGAAGTTCAGAGTAGTCAAGCATCTTGAGCAAGGCTACAAAGTAAGAAATAAGTCCAGGATTCCAAGCCCAGTTTGTTTGAACTCAGAGTCTATGGGATGGATAGATGGATATATATTGTGGGGGAAACAAACAAACAAACCTGGAATTAGAAATGACACCAAATTCTATTAAGTAACTCCCCTGTACCTTGCCTCTCTGGGATAAACATCTCAAATTGCTACAATCCTTCTTTCTATGACATAGTTAGAGATGTCCTCATCCCTCTGGTCACTGTCTTTTAGACCTACTTGAGTTTGTCAAAGGCCCTATTCAGGCCAAAACAAAACACAGTGCTCCAACTGCCTCTAACCAGTGCAAAAAAGACCAGAACCCCCGGCTTCTCTTGGGAGGGATACTGCTGAGAAATAAAGGTCAAGTTTAAAGCACAGTTCTACATGTGTGATGGTTCCCAATGCATAGTAGTGCTTGTACTTTCATCACTGCAGCCAGCTCTGGTGCTAATGCTTAGAACCTTGACCATGTTCTTCTCATATGGCAGCTGCATTCAACACAACTCTGTGGTCTTTCTCAATAGAGTGATCACTCAGATGTGTCTTCCTGCAGCCCCCACCCTTGTGTAGTTCATTGAGGGGGACACACCAGTCATTCAATGGCTCTGGCTTACACTGCCTTTGTCTGCTCTGGGCTGTGCACTTTCTGATTATCTTGCAGGGTCACTTATTCACACTGAAGAGGCAGCTATTAAAATTGAAATCTAAAAGGGGCAGAGAAGAATGAGGCTCATAATATTCATCGCATTTCTCCAGTTCTGCTGTTCTTATTTCACTTTACCCTTAGCCTTTTGACTTCAATATGGTGTTATTTTCTATTACAATACTCCACTGTTTCTGTGGTCATTATTATATTTGTTTCTCCCAAACCAAAGATGGAGGTGGAAGAATTAAATCCCTTTGTCAAAAGTGTAGCAGAGGCACTGTGTCCATAACACGCCCATGTTAATGCCTCTCTTTCCATAAAGATCCAACTTGTATCCTGCTCTCCATAGAACGTCTTCTGATCGCCCCCAGCCCCTGGTAATTTCTCCTTCTTCCAGCTTCTGTGTGCGATACTGCGAGATACTGGAGGGATCTTTGTCTGGAAAATTACACCTCTGTCATACTGGATTCTTGCATGCTACCTTTGTTTGGGTTAGTGCTGACATTTTTAGAAGGCTGGGATCCTCTGAATCATCAGCACCTGGGGCTTCAGTACAGTAACCTTCAAGGTTGTGGCAACAACAAACGTCCTTAGCCCCGCTGCTCCTAGCAGAAGGTGTCTTAGCACAAACAGGTGATGCTTTAAGTTCACGGATAAAGTTTGGTGAGTGCCAATAATGAACAAAGGAGTGGAAACTGAAAGGGACGAACAATTCCAGAGACAAGACTTTGGGATCTTATCACGATGGTAACCCTTTGGGAACTGGGAACTGGATCAATATTCTGGGATCCTGGGATCTCTGTAAAACAAAACAAAACAAACAAAAACAAAACAAAAACTCAGAAAACAAAGCAATATCTGCTTTACTGGATATGGAGAAAATTTATCTAGCAATTGCCTAGTAACGTAACTAATAATATAAATTGATGATTAAAAAAATAAACTGCAGGCCAGGCACAGTGGCTCATACCTGTAATCCCAGCCCTTTGGGAGGCTGAGGCAGGCAGATCACGAGAGATGGAGACCATCCTGGTCAACATGGTGAAACCCTGTCTCTACTAAAAATACAAAAATTAGCTGGGCGTGGTGGCATGTGCCTGTAGCCCCTGCTACTCGGGAGGCTGAGGCAAGAGAATCACTTGAACCTGGGAAGGGGAGGTTTCAGTGAGCCGAGATCGCACCTCTGCACTCCAGCCTGGCGACAGAGCGAGACTCTGTCTCAAAACATAAATAAATAAATAAATAGAATAAAAGAAAATAAACTACATTCTCCTTTGGATTTTGGATTGCGTATATGGATATATGGAATAATTCCAAGGGCTGTGAATATGAAGAGCAACCAGAGAGAACCTGCGCTGAAACTCACATGGTTTGTGGATGTGGATACCACAATGTGAAGAAAAGAGCCGTAAGACGTGGGTTTCATCTAGCTTCTTTCTATACTTTTCATGCTGGCTCTCAGTCCTAAAGCAGGTCACTCTCTGTGGTTATGTTTTCTCATCTCTAAAATGAAGGAATGAAGGTGTTAAATTTCATGCTATCTAAAACATTTCCAACTGTAAAATTCTCTTTCTAAGCTATTCTCATTCCAGCAGGAATCATTTTGTTTTCATTTCTACGTATCTTTAATTTTAGATAATCTCACGCCTAGAAATGGTTCCATAAAAGGATAAAGTACTTGAAATCACTCTCTCTCTCATCTGTTTTTTTGTATACATAGAAAATGTCTGTTATCAGTGATTTCTGGGGTTGGGAAAGTGATTTTTACTTTTCTTTCTACTGCTGTGCTATTAGATTTTTAAAAAATAATAGCATACATTTATTAAAAATATGAAAATGAAAACTATGCCCTTTTACTTTCTGGATTTCCAAGAATAGGACATATGAAGTGAAGTTAAATTAAGCTCATCAAAGATAAATTAACTTAAATTGTTATTTTGTTGATTGAATTTTTGTAGGTAGTTTTTGATAAAATGTTGGAAAATCATTTAAAGAGATGAAACACACCCTCATTGTTCCAGCTTCTTTGTGTAGATGATAGCAAGGTTTTATAAAAAGGAATATTCAATGAACTGTGTGTATATGAGTGACTTTGGATTTTTTCCAGTTTCAGTTCTCTTTCAATACATATTGAAAACAGCAGAGACCCAGGAATTCTTATCTAAGTTATGTGCCAAAACAAATGATCAGGTTACACCTGTTTGGCTTACACTACCTTGGAAACCACCGGGCTTAAAGCACTAGTTTGCTTTCAGGGAAACAATATAATCAACTCATGCTTTTTTAAATCAAATGAGTAACTGACTGGATCTCTTATTAATCTCCACATCTGTGTCAAGAGGTAAGTTAAGCTTATTTTTCTTACGATAGATTTTGTCTATTTAAAGGGAAAATTGCATTTCTTGTAATTGGGTAGTCATTACTTCTTTTTAAAAAGTTTCAGTGACAGAAGTTATCCAAATTATTGCAAATCTCATCATACTGCCGTTCAGTTTTGTGCCGCATCACATGTGCTCTTTCTGGATAAGCTGCCACGAAGTAAGGTTGCCTATGTAGAATGTGTGGTTGACTCTAAAGCTTTCAGAGAGTGTAGCTAAGAAAGAATGCTGGACCTGAGCAAAAAGTGTGAGGGCTGATGTGAATGAGCAGGACGAGGGGGCACAGAAGAGCAGTCCAGGACCCTCTAGGGACATTTTCTGTGTGGATGGAGGGCAACTTCAGCACTGTTTCGAATAGGGGATTCTCTAAAAATGACAATGCTTATACAGGAAATTTAAAAACCTTGCAAGTGGTGTGTATACACATATGTCGGCCTGTGTGGGTACTGTTCTTTCTACTCAGTATTTCATGGATTCCCAGTGTCAAAAATTATTTTTTTAAATATACAATTATTTACATGTATCAAACCTAAAACTGCATGTAGATTTATGGCTCTTATGCATCTACATTTACAAAATAAAAATTGAACATTACAAAACCAATACAATTAAAATAAAGTTTAGCAGACAGAAGATATGTTGCTGAAACTAAATCACTACTCATTGAGAGAACCAGCTACTGACTATAGAAGCCTGATTCTTTGAAGCTGGGCTCACCTGTTCTGTGGGCCAGGTGATGGCTTGTCTGTTGTCTACCACTTGTCTCCAATCAAACTACTAGCAGGCTTCATTCCTGCTGTACATCTACCCATCGTGCTTCATTTATTTGGCTTTCTCTTGAGCATACCCATTATGTGTTGTTTCTCATAGGCTGAAATAATTGAAGTTCTGGTACTTGGTTCCAGTATGATTTTAAGTACTATGTAAATGTTTTATGCAAAGGGCCAGATAGTAAATATTTTAGGTTTTGAGGGCCATCCTGTCTCTGTCGCAACTACTCCACACTGCAGTTCTAGCATGAAAGCAGCCATCAACAACAGTAAACATTTAGGTATGGCTGAGTCTCAAAAAGTGTTATTTACAAAACAGGTGGTGGACTGGATTGGGCCTGAGTGCTGTGTAGTTTGCAGAATGCTCATAAATATGAGTGCAGAAATGCTGACATCCTCTGGCAGTCCTGAAATACGAGCTGGTCATTCAGCTTTTTTGCTTTTCTGTTTGTTTTTTAAAAGCTTAGGAATATGAACGTACACATAAACTTCTTGTAGACACTTGAGAATATAACAACAAACCCTCAGGGGACCACAGATTGGGAAACAATGTTTTAGGGATTTTCCAAATAGGCCATCTTCAAAAATAAAAATGCCTCATTCAAAAAGGGAATTAGAGTTTGCTAGCATCAGCTGACACAACAGGACTCAGAGATGGAAAGATGCCTGTGGGAGGAAATAGTTTTCTTCAGGGGTTAGATGATTTGTATGCAAGGCAGAACAGAGTTATGAATGGACCAGAGAATCCAGCACTCAGGGGAGAGCAGAGACTAGCCATGTAGAACTAGGGTTCTTCTACTGCTGGATTTGCTAGTGACTTATTGGGAGTGTTGGATGAGTCTCCTACCTCTCTGAGTTTTTCAGTTTTTCCATCACTGAATTGAAGGTTGTACCATACATCCTGCTCACTACTGAAGATGGAGGTAAGCATTGGATGAGATGCTGTGAAATGCTGCAGAAATGGTCAAGTGCCCAAGGGTGAGCATTATTGTTACTAAGAGGTGAAAAGAGCTGGGTATGAAAGCTGATGGATTTTTCAGGGAGTGTCGCTGGCGTCTGCAAGGCAATTGGAAATCCAGTGCTCCTCAAACACAAGTTTCAAACCAGCACTTTTAGGGAATGACGAAGCAGCTCTCTGGCTCCCAGCAGTGCAAGGGCTTTTTGGACAGTATTTATGCAGGTAGCCTTGCCTGTCTTCCTCCCAGAGGCCAGCTTGACATTGCCTGAACCTCGCAGGAAGTAAAGCCTCCAGTGTTGGGTGAGAAGTTGCTGGTGTGGCAAAGCTCATACTGCAATAAAAGAAGAAAAGTGGGTTGCTCAACAGGGGTCTCAACAGTGTCACCACAATCAGAACTGGCACTCAGTTCCAAAAGTTCAGAAAGTCAGGCATATTGTTTACTCAGAGTTCAATCTATTCTAAGGGATTCATCCACATGAGCCAAGCCCAGGGACCTGATTTATAAAATGCATCTCCAGCAACTGGAACTCTTGTGTCTAATTTCAGGAGGACTTCCTTGCACAGCATAAACCATTTCAGCAAGAAAAAAATTATTACTCAGAAGGCTGCTTGCTAAATTGGCATAATGAGAATCAATTATTTTGTGTAGTATCTGAAATTCAACATTTCCTGTGCATTCTACACTTTTATTTGCTTCATCTGGCAACTCTAGTTCCTTCTCTTAAAGAACATGTGGTCTGTAAAGACATTAATCACAAAACAAGTACATGATTACAACTTATAAGTGGCATGAAGGAAAAAAGCCAACATAATGAACAAGAATACCAAGGAAGACCTAATTTAGATTAGTGGGGTCAGGGAAAGCCACTCTGACTCAGATTAAGGGGACCAGAGTATTGTAGGAAGGAGGAACAGAATGGATGTACTGTGTAAAGGAGAAACCAAAAGAAGGAAAGCATGTCTGGAATTCAGTATCCTTTGGAGATATGCAAGACAAGGTTGGAGATGCAGGCATGGGCACAACTACACAGGCTTTTGTTGTCCAGATAAGAGTTTGGCCTTTTTCCCCCTACCCTCAGTGCAACAGAAAACCATGGTAGGGCAGAGAAATGAGAATACACAGTCTCCATTTTAAAAGTTAATCTGAATGGATAATGGGTTGGAGGGGCAAGAATGAGAAAACGAGTGACAGCTAGAAAGCTGCTATGGTGTCTAGGCAGGAGATGAAGGTGGCTTGGATTAGAGTGGTGCAAGTGCAGATGAAAAGAGTGAAAAGTTCTGCTATGTATTTCAAAGGTAAAAACTTTGGCCTTGAATGTAGATTAGATGTGGGGTTTGAGGCAGAGAGAAGGATGAAGAATGACTTCCAAGTTTCTGGCTTCGACACTTGGGTGGATAGTGGTGCAATTTACTGAGGCAGAGAACACTGAGAAGGATCATTGCTTTGGCTGGGAGGCAGAAAGTGAAGAAAGTACTGGCAAGATTTCACTTCTGAATATTTTAAGTTTATGAGATGACATCCTAGTGGAGATGACAAGAAGGCAGCTGAAAGTCAGAGATGAGAGGTCTGCACTGGAGATACATGATTTGGGAACATTGACATATATGTAGAGGCAAGAAAGATTTAAAAGGATTCACTATATGATTTTTCTACATGGTAATCTTCCAGATGTCTGTTAATTGGCTTGCTTTGTAAACATTATTCTATAAACAGCTTTCTCCAATTGTTACAAGAACCAAATATATACGTATGAAAGAGTGATAGGTCTCTGATTTCATAGTGTTTCTTATTAGGTTTTCTTCAGATTTAATTTTTATATTCTTATTGTAAAGGATAAGAATGCCATTGTCTTTCCATCAGCAAAATATCTGAAAATAGGGGCCAGGCACGGTGGCTCATGCCTGTAATCCCAGCACTTTGGGAGGCTGAGGTGGGCAGATTGCAAGGTCAGACCAGCCTGACCAATATGGTGAAACTCCGTCTCTACTAGAAATACAAAAATTAGCCAGCCATGATGGCAGGCACCTGTAATCCCAGCTACTCGGGAGGCTGAGGCAGGAGAATCGCTTGAACCCAGGAGGCGGAGGTTGCAGTGAGCTGAGATTGCACCACTGCACTGTAGCCTGGGCAACAGAGCGAGACTCCATTTGAAAAAAATTTTTTTTAAATAGGATGGACATTTATCAGATAAGTCATAATTATGACATTTGATGCCATCATCCTCTGATTCTATTCAAAGATCAGTCACTTTTTTTTGTTGCCTTTCTTTTAGCAACACAGTATCTTACCTTCTTCCTACCTCTAAAATGCCCAACAAGGTACTTTCAAATGTTCAGTAAGATTACATAAATATCCTCTTGAGTAATATGGACAAACGCCCAGTGATACATGTCATGGGGAAACATAATATTTTTTTCCTTTTTAATCTTTGGGGCTTTGTTTTAATAATTCATAAAGACATTAACCTTTCTGGTAGGCTTAAGAATCCTTTTTATTTAATACAATTTTGTTTGTGTCCTGAAAACAAGGACATTGAAGTATTTATTCCCTGCTGAATAGGGCATTGTGTACATGTAGCTTTGTTTTCCCTGAAAATACCTCTTAGCCTTCATATGCCTTCTCATGGCTCTGGAATGTGGGCTTGCTCTATATTGCTTCCTCTGTAAGAGAACATGTATTATGCTCCCAACATGCATGCTGTTGGAACATCTCAGTTTTCTTAACTCCCTGTTTCCCCTCACATCACCATTTCCATGATTCTCTTTTGGCTGAGTCTATGCAGAAAACAAGTAGTATTAATTATTGTAATAGGAAACACGAGCTGAAAAGGCAAAGCTTTCACCTGAGAAATTATAAAGTAAATTAGTGGCAGGCCTGGAGCTCTAGCCCATATCTACTAGTTATGGTAGAAAGTTTAAAAAGTGGCTCTCGACTGGGAAGATTTTGTCTCCTCTCTCCCGGGAACATTTGGAAATATATGGAGACATTTTTGGTTGTCACAGATGGTAGGGGAGCTGGTTTCTAGCGGCTGGCGGCCAGAGATGCTGCTAAACTTCCTACAATACATAGGACAGCTGCTGAAACAAATAATTAATCAACCCAAAATGTGTATGGTGCGAATGTTGAGAAACCTTGCTGTCAGATAATGGAAATTAGACTTGAGCCCTGCTCTGCATCTTACTTTGTGACCTCGAGAAAGTGGCTTCATTTCTGAGTCTGCCTTTTCATTTGCAAGAACAAAACCACCACCATCATAAGGCAAACAAAGACAAAAAACAAAACAAAACAAAACAAAAAACCACCTTTCGGAGTGGTTTTGAGAGATCAATTCAAAAGCACAGAACAGAGTTCTGAGCATATCATGGACCCAACAAACAATGAATCAGGCCCATCCCACGGAGTTCAATGATAAGATGGAAGCAGTCAGTGCCAGAAAGAAAATGTCACTGAAATGAAAAAGAAGGCTCTTCAGATCCTTATTAGCTTTTATTGGGAAAAGAGCAAGAGATGCAAAGAAGTTTAAGAGAATTAAATAGCATCAAGGATGTACTAGAAGGTGAGGGGAGGAGATGATGAGACTGGAAATAGAACCTAGTGACAGAGTTGTAGGAGTGATGAGATTTCAGCAGTGACCTGGAGATGGATTTGAGATGCATTTAGGAGGAATCTGAAGAACTTTGTGGACAATTAAAAAAGGGTTATGAGAGAGGAGTCTAGGATGAATATGAGATTTCTGATGGGTGCTTTGATGTTGGTGATGCCATTCAGTAAGAATGAAATAGAAGGGCAAGGAAAAGAACAAATTCAGTTGTAGATGTATCAAGTTCAGAATTCTTGTGGGACATTTAGATGATCACCACGAGGCAGGGAACTATGTAGGTTTAGGGAGAGTCAGGAAGGTGAAAGCAGAAGTCGAATCCATGGGGATGAGTGAAATTTTCTAGGGAGAGCATGAAGAGTAAGAAAAGAGCAAAGGACAGAATTCTTAAGAGCTGGACAACAAAAACGAAGATGAAAGAATCAGAAGGAGTGAAACAAGAAGAGAGGGTAGAGTGGTGTAGAACTCAAGTCTGAAGAAGTTTCAGGAACACAAGTGCAGGCAACAGTGTCAAATGTCACAGGAAAATTACATAAAATTCAAGTGTCCACAAGATTTGGCAGTTGCATGACGGTGCTAACTTTAGCATAAATGTTAAGTACAATGATGAGCAGAAAACCTAGACTCAATGAGTTGAGGAGTAAATAACAGTTGAGGAAGTAGAAATGAGGGATAAAGGAAGAAAGACTGTCAGCAAGATAAGCTATGAAGATTCTCCCTCTCCCCCACTAAAAATGGACACTTAAGCATATTTGTAGGCTGAGAGGAAGGAGACAAGGGAGATTGAAGACCACAGAATACAAAACAGGGAAAACTGACAGATCAAGAATGGGATATAGAGTGTGAATGATTATTTTGGGGCAAGAAGAGGGAGACTCTCCCTCCAAACTGGGTAAAGAAGGTAAATTGGGTGTGAATATGTCAGTCTGGAGGGTGAGGGAGAGGAAGTTTGTATTGGAGAGCTTTACTTTTCATTATCAAATTGGTGGCAAGCTGAGCTGCTGATATGGGATATGCGAAACAAGAGGAAGTAGCAGCAGGTAATAAACCTCAAGGATTGGGAGGGGCATTAACGAATTAGAGAAAGTGAGTAGAGACTACAGCGTCAACAATCTGGCATGTGAAGGACATCTCAAGATACCAGGATCACCTTGATATTCATATCTAATTATCTTCATATGAGTAACATGACCCATCCATCTTTAGAGGGAAGCAATAAACTAGATTTTGCCAACCACAGAATTGTTTGCAAATGGGGTAGTGGGCAGTGGGGTAGATGACCAACCAAATCTCAAATTAAAGTGGACGTGGGATTAATTATGTCCATGGACCAGTTGTATCATCTCCTTATATGTAAGCATATCCTTCGGGATTCTTGGAGAGCCCTAAACCACCAGAGTTGTTGTAATGCAGAAATTGTAATTTATCTTACATAATCCCTCAAATAGTAGAAATGATCTGTAGAATAGAAGTAAATGAATCCTGATGAAATTGTTTTATTTTGCAGAGTCTTGCCTTCTTTTGAGCCTAAGTCATGAGTTGGATGTTCCTCAGAGATCTCCTGAGTGGAGTAAATAAATACTCCACTGGGATTGGACGGATTTGGCTGGCTGTCGTGTTTGTCTTCCGTTTGCTGGTCTACATGGTGGCAACAGAGCATGTGTGGAAAGATGAGCAGAAAGAGTTTGAGTGCAACAGTAGACAGCCCGGTTGTGAAAATGTTTGTTTTGATGACTTCTTCCCCATTTCCCAAGTCAGACTTTGGGCCTTACAACTGATCATGGTCTCCACACCTTCGCTTCTGGTGGTTTTACATGTAGCCTATCGTGAGAATAGAGAGAAAAGGCACAGAAAGAAACTCTATGTCAGCCTAGGTACAATGGATGGTGGTCTATGGTACACTTATCTTATCGGCCTCATTGTTAAAACCGGTTTTGAAATTGGCTTCCTTGTTCTATTTTATAAGCTATATGATGGCTTTAGTGTTCCCTATCTTATAAAGTGTAATTTGAAGCCTTGTCCCAACACTGTGGACTGCTTCATCTCTAGACCCACTGAGAAGACGATCTTCATCCTCTTCTTGGTCATCACCTCATGCTTGTGTATTGTGTTGAATTTCATTGAACTGAGTTTTCTGGTTCTCAAGTGCTTTATTAAGTGCTGTCTCCAAAAATATTCAAAAAAAACCATTCCTCAGTGTGTGAGTGCCACAGCCTCAGACATGTTGAATGTGGTAGGAGAGGGACCCTACTCCAGAATCATCATTCACACTTGGCCATAAACATACTCCCACCACCTGAAGCAAAGCTACTTGGTGACACACAAGAGGGTTACACAAAGAAAACCTGCATCCCTCCTCAGCAAGGCCTAAGCTGAGTTGGAAGACAAAGCATGTCAGCCTTAGTATCATTTGGGAGGATTTTTTTTACATTGTCAATATGCTTTCGGTTATGAGCACTAGACAGAGGTCTCATTGTTTTGTTGTAGGGTTCTCCAGTATGTGGATAACATTAGTTGTTTTAGAATAGGTAATTGCAAATTAGTCTGAAGAAATCTAACAGGATTCTTTTAAGAGCTTAGATTTTTCAAGAAAAAACAAAAAAAGAAACCCTGTGTCAGTTTTCTGTTTTTTCTAACTATCTCATTACAATTTGTGCACAATGAACTGGAAAACATAAAAAGTGACACTTTAGACAAATGTGATGGCCTTCGAGCTGAAATGAAGGAACTGGCAATCTTTCCAAAGTGGCAGCCAAGGCCCCACTCCCTGTCCTACTCAATCTCTGTAGGGAAAAACTGTGGGATAGGACATTAGCCAGATGGAGACACACAGAGGAACATTCGACAGGAAGATCTCCAGGCCTTTTTCCGATTCAGGGATCCTTGGATGTAAGAGGACTAGAGGAGAGGGAGGAAAGCTATCATTTCAGTGGTCTCCAAATTAAGTACAAATATTACTGGGAGGTATCCCACTTAAGCCTGAACCAGCAGATGTTCAAAAGGGTCACTCTAGAGTCAGAAAGGCAGGTCCCCCAGAAGGCAACACATTGATAGGAAATGGAGGCCACAGAAAAAGAATGTGCCCACTTGACAATTACTTAAGATTTCTATTTAACCAAAAGAACATTGAAATACTTTGCAAATATTCATATTGTTGAATCTTTCGTAATCAGGAATTCCCTATGTACTATATAGTATGTATGTCCCAGTTTGCCTATAATTTAGTAGTATATCTCCCTCTAGGACAAACAGTAAAATGTGTACTATGTTGTTACAGTGGTGCAAAAATGTTTAAAAAGTTTATCACCTGTTTTGAAGACTAGAACTTTCTTTACTTTTCTTTATTTTTCTAGAAATTCACAGATACATTCTCTTTGGATTTAATACTCTAACATATATACACTTCTTCAGAATAAAAATAAAGGTATTTCACAATGCTCTTTGGCTGTCGTTGGTATCTTTGCTAGACTGTAGTGGGTATGATTACTCTGTGAAATAAAACACGTTCTGACAACTTTAGAACAGGATTTGCAACACTGCTTGGTAAAGATAGCTCAGAAATTCTTCTTCTCCCTTGGGAATTTAACAGAAAATCAGGGCATAAAAATGTAATTTTAACTAAAGACCAATTATGTTTTCCATGCCTTGCCCTCTTCAGAATATAATCTCATTACAAGTCATATGCAATGAGGGTTATTTGGGTGATTACGTGGTCTACAGACTATGTCAGCAGCAGTGGTCATTATCTCTATCTTAAAGACTGTGTTCTAGACAATGGAAAGAAAGGTGAAATTTGTGGTTTACCCCTTTTTTCAATTTATAAGACAGATCACTGCTGGACTTGAGCTTACAACCATGTACTTTATCATTGAACATGAAAACATCTACCCTGCACGAATGCAGGTAATTATGAATTTTGTGTGTGTATGTGTGACAATAATAGGTGGTTAAAAGAAATTTAAGGTTTTTGAGACCCTGATCGTGGCACAGAATCTAGAAAACAGGGTTTCAGAATGCAGAACTGGAATGGAAACAAGGGATTTTGTCAGTCTGAGGATGAGTTTGATGCCAAAAATGTTTTGGGGGAGCTCAGTCTCTTCATACCAGTTATGGCAAGTTCTGCCTAAGCAAAAAAGTCCAACTGCTTGGCCATATATTCTTTGCATTTCCACTTTGTATAGAAAAGAAACTGAAAGGTAATGTGAGCAAGGGTAATGGCAGCGTAGATGTTTAAATAGGAAGGTGAGTGATTTTTGTTCCTTGAGTCTTGCTGGTAGTACCTTAATTTACAAGTAAGTTTCCTATGAGAACATTCTGATGACTTTCTTGGGGTCAGTGAGGACCCAAAGTATTTGATTGAAATTGGCAGTTAATTTGTATCATATTTATTGTTTCTCTTGTTGGTAAATTAATATTTATTGAGCATCTGGGAGCAAGACACTGTGCTATGTACCTCCCAAGATTTAATGCATAATTCCTGCTCAAGAAAATGTCCACTTCTGTTAAGGGTCATGGAGGATGGAGTATCTTACACCTGTGTCTTGGTCTCATTGGCCCACCTCAACTGTTTCACCCTGAAACCTTCTGGTGCCCATAGAGCAGACAGTAACCTTGGAGATGAGGAAAAAGCAGTCACTTTTCTTCAGGGACATGCAACTAGTACAGGCAGACTGAGCAATCAACCATAGGTCTTCCCAGATCACTAAACAGAGGTCTCCCTAATTTCATTTAAGCCACTCCCAGCTTGCAGATACTCTTTCTAGTTACAGACCTTGTTCCTGGCCACAGGAGTTCTCATTAGAGCTGGCAGGAAATGTTTTCAAGCACTTGTACAAAAGAATGCCCAGAGCTCTAAGTGGTTGTAGTTCCAGTCTTCCCAGTGGAATGAAGCCAATCTAAAAACAAGACTGTGAAGATGAGAGAGGAGGGGGAAAAAGGCAAAGACTTGAGGATGTTTGAACTCCTCAATACCATTGTCCCTGAGCCTGGCTCTACTCCTAACCTTTCTGTGGTTAGTCACATGAAAGATAAATTCCTTTTTCCTTAAGCTGGTTCAAGTTGGATTTCTGTGTCTTGTAACTGAGAGTCCCAATAAAGCCACATTCTTCATAAATTTATTTCCTGTATAATACAAAATTTTAATAATTTAAAAGCCTATAGTACCCTGCCTCTCCTTATTCTAGCTCATATCTCATCACATACATGTAATGCTTTTCTTAAATACTGATGCCATTTATTTCTAGTTTGTTTGTATATTTAACACTGCACAGAGCACAAAAGTGAGGAGCACTTCATAGCTCTTTAAAAGACTAATTAGAGGGCAAGTGCAGTGGCTCATGCCTGTATTTCCAGCACTTTGGGAGGCCAAGGCAGGAGGATCCCTTGAACTTCGGAATTCAAACTTGAGGTGGGCTATGATCGTGCCACTTACTGCATCCAGCCTGGGTGACAGAGCAAGACCCCGTTTTTTGTTTATTTTGTTTTTGTTTTTTGTTTTTTGTTTTTTGTTTTGAGATGAAGTCTTGCTTTCTCCCCCAGAGTGGAGTGCAGTGGTACGATCTTGGTTCACTGCAACCTCCGTCTCCCAGGTTCAAGTGATTCTCCTGCCTTAGCCTCCCGAATAGCTAGGATTATAGGCACCCACCAACATACCTGGCTAACTTTTTTATTTTTAGTAGAGATGGGGTTTGCCATGTTGGCCAGGCTGGTCTCGAACTCCTGATCCACCTGCCTCAGCCTCCCAAAGTACTGGGATTACAGGCCTGAGCCACCATGCCTGGACAAGACCCTGTATTAAACAAAACAAAAACTAATGAGGAAAGAAAGAAGCAGTGGTGGAGCACGTAGAGGCAAAACATGTCAGAATTCAATTCAATTTTTATGACAAAAGCCCAAGGAAGGTGTTCTAGGTCTAGAAATACCTGCCAGAAGCACTTTCTCTAATATAAATCGGGCTTCTTTTCACAAAGCAAATCTTCCTTTGGCTGTAAAAGATATTGGTGACTGTGAGGAGCTCTGAGAATTTTCCACAGACCCATCTTGTTTCCCCAGTGTTAGACAGTCTAACTAACAACTTTCTGAGATATCTTTTAAAAATTCTATAATGTTCCCAAATATTGTTTGAAAGCAAAGTAAAATGAGTTCTGGATTTTACTGACATAGGTCAATATTCCCATCTATTTAAAGGTGAAGTATCAAATCCTTCCCCGGCTACAAAGAATTTTTAATTTTTTTTCTATTAAAAAGGAAAAATGGGCTGGACGCAGTGGCTCACGCTTGTAATTCCAGCACTCTGGGGGGCTGAGGCGGGCAGATCACGAGGTCAGGCGATTGAGACCATCCTGGCTAACACAGTAAAACCCTGTCTCTACTAAAAATACAAAAAATTAGCAGGGCGTGGCGGCGGGCGCTTGTAGTCCCAGCTACTCAGGAGGCTGAGGCAGGAGAATGGCGTGAACCCAGAAGGCGGAGCTTGCAGTGAGCGAAGATTGTGCCACTGCACTCCAGCCTGGGCGACAGAGCAAGAAAAAAAAAAAAAAGGAAAATGTTGTTCAGAAGAAATATGTAATTTCTGTTAATACTTTATCTCAAAAAACCTTCAGATAGTAATGCCTCCTGTCAAAGTAAAGAGAGAGAATGGTTGTTGTGTAGAATTGGGGATGAATCAATTACAGGACACTGAAAAAGTGGACTTGATTCCTCTTCTTTTGGAAAAGATCAACATTAAACTCTGTGCTGTGGATTGGGGCCAGAGCAGACAAATATTAAGCAATACAACTACCATATTGTTGGTATAAAAATGTTAACGAAATAGATGATAAGTAATCTCCTGTGATTAAAAGAGGTATTAATCACTAGGTTAGCCAAGAGTTTTCATTCATGTTTATCTCAAAGAAAAGTGCAGTAACTTGAGATCTGACTTTCTGTGAAGATAAGCAAACCTGATAAACCAATCCTCTTAGAGATTGCTCCTAATTACATTAATTTGATATTTAAAATTAATGACTGTGACTACGATCGACTTTGTCTTATTCATCTCTTTATACCCCTATATCCCCATAGGTTAGGTTCCTTTGTGCTTGGGAACTCAAAAGTTTCTTGGAAAAAAACGTTGTGTTCCTCTTCCCTCTCCACTTAACCCTGATTTTGTTGGGGATGTCAATGTGCCCAGCTAAAAAGGTATATTTTAAAGTCTCCTCTGCATGTAGAGATAGCTGTGTGACTATCTTCTTGTCAAAGCAACAGGGTGCTTTGGGGAAAGTTGGGTAAAAAGTGTGCTGACCTAGTTTGCACGCATCTTTTTCCCCACGCCCACCCCTTCCTGCCTGAAACATTATAGCTTCATGTTGCCGGGAACATCTTTCTGCCATGAGGTGACTCTGAGGATGGATGTGAGACCTTCTGAAGAAGACAGGCAGGCTTCTGGGCCACTGATGCCATTATGAAATTGCCTTATCAGCCTCGAACTGCCTATTCTCCTACTGTCTGCTTGTTATTATGTGAGAGACAACTTAACTCCTACCCGAAGTAAGTCACTAACTCGTTAATTTCTTTTACTTACTGCTCCAAACAGTTCCAGAGTACATTCAATTAGTGACTAGGATGAAGACACAGAAGGCATGCCTGTATCAACTGAAGACAAAAGAAATGCCTAGTATTTGAAACATTTAAAAAATTGAATTGAAACATTTAAAACTGAAACATTTATAAAACCTCAGCAGGGGAGAATTTTGTGCAGAATTTAAGTCAGGTGAAATGGAACAAGCAATCATTCTGCACCAAGATTTAAGATTTTAATATGAGACCGAGATGATATTAGTTCACAACTTAAATACCTTGGAATTTTAGCTGGCCACCACTTTAACATGAGCAAAGTATAGTATGAGACTTTTCTTTAAAGTTCATTTATACCTGTATTAACAAAGGTTTGTGTCCAGACTATAGTGAATTATTTTCCCAATGCTTCAAAGACAAATAGCTTATTTTGTGTTTCAAAGTTGTAGAACCAGGACCAATGGCTGAAAATAAGAGAAAAAGATTTTTAACTAATATTGGAAAGTTGTATTAATTTGAACTGCCTCAATAAAATGGTTGCCAAATAAAGTGGTGAGATTCCTTAACATTGAACAAGGTGTTCAATATTATTTCTGGATTATATAGAAGGTATAGCTAGATGATCTCCAAATTTCTTTTACACTCTTCAAGATCCTATGGTTCTAGCAACTAAATATTGGGCAATGGCAAAATAAGACTTTGTATTGGCGGTATCACTATATAAACCTGAGTCCACAGAAAGATCTCTGATGAACAGAATCATCTTTAAAAAACAAATTTCACGTGTAATGACAGGACAGCTCATTACAATAGACAATTTAGGTAGTCCCAAAGAACTGGTTATAATAGGATTCATCTTTAAAATCATGGCTTTATAGTTAGTAA